TTAGATGGTAGCAGGAAGTCGCCGTGCGTATGCTATGGAGAGGTGGGTGACAGTGACTGACACTGCTGCAAAGCCCATTTCAAAAACCTGGAAGAAAGAATCTTGATAATCTTGTCCCTAAAGAAATGTTCAGTGTTGGAAGGAAATACTTATAGGCATGTTTAATCTGTTTTAAATGTTAAAAATATATAAATATTGAAACGTTATTTTACTCCATTAATATATATCTTTATACTTTCATGTAACAATATATTTTTTAAAATGTTGATCTTGTAGCAGTGAAAAGAAGATGGTGGTTGGCAAACACTGAAAGAGACAACAGGGAGACACTGTTGAAATGGCACTTAAGTGTATTTACATAGAAGGAATGCATTTTGCAAAACCTAATACACAGAAATGTGACTATGCTTAGTGATATTACGTTGTTTCTTTCAAAAGTATAAGCACTGCTGGTTATACGTGCTCATTTTAAAATGATGACTATGTGAGGTAGTGAACTTGCTAATTAGAAAGATTGAACATTCATATATATACATATATATTTCAAAGTATATAATATTGTGCAGAAGAAAAACATAAAATGCTACCAAGTAAAAATGTTAAATACTTTTAAAGCTCAAAACAATATGAGTTAACTTTGAAGAGCCCTTTATTGATAAATCACAGTAACATTTTTTTGCTGGGACTCAAAAGATGAAACATCTCTTTTACAAAGTCATCTAAGTGGCGTTAAATTTAGTAATGATATCATACCACATATTGATGACAAACACAAAGTTACAGTCTGTGAGCTTAACTTTTAATCTGTAATCTGAAAAGTACCTACTTTAAAAAATAAAATACAATGAAGCTTAAACAAAAAGGATGGACCAAGTATCTATCTTAGGTGCTTCTTAATTCTCCATACCCACACTGGGAACAAATTGCATGGTGCAGTGTAATACATTATTATTTGTGAGAAAATATATAACAGATTAGCCATTTCCTCTTTGGCCTCCTAGAATATAGAATTTGGGGGTATCCCAAGTGTAGTGAAATAAGTAGCAAGTCTTTGATTCCTAATAAAATATTATCTTCAGTTTTTGACCTAACCCTTGAAATTGCTAAGCCCACATGCTTTAAATTTAAACAATGACTACTTTAGTTTTGATGTTTCACATTTGTTTATCAAGACATTGGAGTCAAATCATAGGCTTAGTCATGTATCAGGTAAGTATGTCAGAAATTTTTACACAGAGTATAGACCTGACCTGTGCACAAATTTATACTTTAAAATTTTACTGAGTTTCATTATACAAAGGAATGGAGTAGTATCTATATGCACACACTAAATATATTTTTAAAATTCTTTTGGCATTTTTATATGGCTCAACTTCATACTTTCAGTATATTAATATTAAATCAATTTATTATAACCTGCATAGTGTTTATGGAATCAAATAAAAATCTTTTTGGCATCTTCAAATTTTAAAATACTGAATCTGTACAACAGCTTGTGACAGATTTTCATAATTTTACATGTACTGAAAACTGACACTCAGTAAATTTTATATTTACTATTATGGAGACAATAAAATGTTTTAAATTATGTTCCTCGTCTTCAGCTTTATAAAATATTCAGTCATTCGTATGCTCCTGTTTTCCAATTGGAGTTGGGGAGCACCAGGCCTACTTATGTCAGAAGACAGGAGAAGCCTACCTGAACACATTTTACTGTTGTTGAGTACAGTGTGCAACTTGAGCACTGAGTTGGAAGAGTTTGTGATAATGTGCGCTAACACTTTTTAAAAACCGCATCAACATTTTGCTGGCCTGAAATTTCTTCTGTCGTTACAACTATGGAAAATTGTGTCAAGCTACTGAAATGCTTGGGATGGAGGAACGGCAAACGTTTAATGGGCACTGTATTAGGGATAAGAGGTTAGCCGTTTCCTTAAATATATCATACGCTCATTGCCCCTGACAAAGTATATACAATGACAAAAGTAATAATACTGAATTATTTTAATTCAATTCCTTACTCAGTGCTGAAGAGTATCATTTGCAAGATGTCTGATTAGGAAAGGGATGCAAGTGTAGAACATACAATTATCATTTTACTATTAGAATTAAGAAATCATTACATTGAAAAGTTTGAAGTTGTCATTATAACAGTAGTACGATTTGTGTCTACCTGCCTGCCTGCGTGTGTGTGTCTGTGTGTGTGTGTGTGTGTGTGTGTGTGTGTGTGTTTCATAGGTCACAACAATTATAAAACACGGCAAGGAGAGAGGAGAATGTTTAAAATATTTGTTAGTAATATAAATTACAATGCATTTTTCCAAACACATTTTCCATTTGTCTCAGTTTAAAAAAAAAAAAAAAAACTTGTAATGAGATTTGTGCAGATCAAAGCAAAAGGCATTGATTGGAAAACCGTTGTGGAAATCATTGACCTGAACTTGTAACCAGCTGCTGTAAGAGCGCATGCACTCTGCCAAGGCCAGAGCCAAGGGAGGACTTGGGTAGACCAGAGCTCCCGCCGCGAGGGGTGGGTTCTCAGCGGACACTTGGGCAGCGTCACTGTGTCTGCAGTGGACAGCTTTTTCTTAACCTAAACATGGGTAGAGCCAGGTCCGTACTGACAAAAAAGAAAGAAAGAAAGAAGAAAGAAAGAAAGAAAGAAAGAAAGAAAGAAAGAAAGAAAGAAAGAAAGAAAGAAAGAGAAAAAGAAAAAAAAAGAAAGAAGATATTTTTCAGTATTTCAGTGTAAGAAATTTGATTAAAATAAAAATGTTCTTTCTGGAAAATAACGATGAGGAGCTTAAGGTGAAACAGCTTTGACATACTCCATTTTCACGGGATTGCCATAGAATGAAACAGGCCGGCCCCAGCAGAGGGTCCCCGCCTGCGCGCTGGGGCTAGGGACGGTCACAGCTCGCCGGAGTCCCCAGGAAGGCTCCGTCCGAGTCTGGGCCCGCAGGCAGCCGCGCGCCGGTGTCCGCAGGACGACCAGCGCCGGTGGGAGCCCCATGCCTGCCCCTAAATTAAGCAGGCTTCTCCGCCGTTTGCTCATGGTTGTCATCAACATATTCTGATTTCAACCAGTGACCTTGGTAGTGTCACGTGCTAATCTTTTATTTCTAAATAGAAATGTTTTCAACATAAAAAGAGAGTTTTATTTTTGTTTGGTTTTTTGTTGGTGTGTGTGTGTGTGTGTGTGTGTGTGTGTGTGTTGTATTTTTAGTGCTATTTCTGTCATTTGGTTCTAGTAAAAAAAAAAAAAAAACTTGGATTCAGAACCTGTCCTTTCTGTTATCAACTTAGCGATGCCAATGTCAAAAAAAAAAAAAAAAAAAAGAGCAGCACGCTAACATGGGGAAAGCCTTTGTAACCGATAGTAAAAGCACTGTTTCCTTTGTCGCATGCTTATAACTTTGTTTGACTCTTGCTAATTCTTGAGTTAAGAAAGAGAAAGTATATCCAGCGGTATCATTTGGCACTCAGATTAAGTTTTGCAAAATGTCACATGTATAAATCAGTTTCTGTTAAAATGGAGGGATAATAGTTGTAATTTTGAATCCTAAAAATCCCAGATTTGATCTAAGCATCCACAGGAGCTGCTGACCAAAATAATGAGCATCTTTTACATTAGTTAGAGATGCAGGTGCTGGAATTCTTGAACCAAATTTTTCATTTTAGTATGAGAGAGCCCTTCGTGACTTATATACATTTAAAGTTTGAGACTGAACATACTGCATGCTTAATTTTTATGCTTAGAACAAATTATTATCATTCCTATTTGCCTCATATTTTCCAAGCAAAATAATGTTTGTTATTTACCCAAAATAATTAGTATAGTACTTTCCATATGGGTGATGTTTGGTATATTTTTTTAATTATTTAATAGCAATTCTATGAAAACTATGGAATTTATAACTTTATAGGGTTTTTTGGGGGAGGGGGGAATTGGGGATTGAACCCTGGCCCTTGTGCTTGCCAAGGAAGTACTTATTCCACTGAGCCATCTCCCCAGCCCCACTTTATAGGTTTTATAACCCTTTGAGGTAAGCATATTCTCCTCCAGACTATAAATTCTTGGAATGCAATCAAAATTTTTGTTACTGAATGATACATATGGAGTAAGACATAGTTTTGTCATACATGTATAATTATATGATTAGCAACTTAATGTCACATGGATTTCTTCAAACATTTATTTCTTTGTGTTCATAACATTCAAAAAGGCTAATCAATAAATTAAGTTATTTTTTAAAGTATAATTTTATTTTTTAAGATTGATTGATTGATTGATTGATTGATTGATTTGGTACAGGGTATTGCTACACAGCTCAGACTCATAGTGCCCTCCTGTCCTAGCGTCCCCAGCACTGGTATTATAGGCGTGTTCCACCTTGCCTGGTTTCGGTGGCCAGCACAGTGCAGGGCTGGCACAGCATGCATTACTGGGGTTTGCACCCCAGTCCTCATGCTTGTGAGGCAGGGGCTTACCCGTGGCTATGTCCCCAGCCCCTGTAATTTTACTTTAAGTGTACTTAGCTAATAATATCTGTAAGCATTTGTGTTGAGAAAAAGTCTAAGTTATTTACTGATATGAATCTTTTCTTTTTTTTAAACAGATTGCTTGGCCAAACATAAATCTATATTAAACAAAGGATGATTTGTAATAGCTATTTTGGTATTCAGGTGTATAGTATCCAATAAATTTCCATTTTGTTGCAGGTGATTAAAAGCATGCCAAATTTATTGTAAAATACTGATATATAAACAATTTTCTATTTTTGTGATTTTGAAATTCTTTGACATTATTTGAAAGTAAATTTCAGCACGAACGGACTTCCTGGCTGGTATTAAAACAGAATATCAAGATATGGCAGCAGCCTATGTTCCATTTCAGAATAAAAATACCCCAGAAAATTCTCTTGGAATTTAAATTATATTGTGTGTGTTCTATGTTCTATGTATGACTCATTTATTCAAATCTGATTCTCTATTTGAAGGGAGGGAAAATCCCAATTCGCTGGACATCACCTGAAGCAATAGCCTACCGCAAGTTTACATCCGCCAGTGACGTTTGGAGTTACGGGATTGTGCTCTGGGAGGTGATGTCCTACGGAGAGAGGCCGTACTGGGAGATGTCCAACCAGGACGTAAGTATGCGTTCGTATTCTACGAGCTATGAATTCAGATTAAAAGCTCAAGCTGTGTGAGGAACTGGAGCATACCGAACCCAGGTGCTCACAGTTCTGACACTGAAGTAGACTGGCTAGAAGAACCGGTGCGACTCTAACAAGAATGCTAATTCCCTGGCTCTCACGGCCTTGCGTATTTCCATCAAGCGGGATTTAGGAATGTAACGAGATGGAACTTTTTTTGGTTAAACATGAGTGACCAATAAGGAAACCACTATGTATTATGGAGTATTTGAATTATTTTGCTACAAAATTTTTCCTCTGTAACGTTAAGATGCAAGTTTTCCAAGCTTTGATGATTCACTTACTGCAAATATTCCAAGATTTCATTTGTTTAAATTTGGCACGGCACACAGTGAGATAAAATAATAGGTCTCTATCATGTTGTTTCTGATAATGTAATAAACTTACACATGAATTCTGTTTATAACTTTGAAATCTTTAGGTAGAGCAATTATCTTTAGTTTATTTTTATTGTAACTGTGATATGATTGTTTTTCCAAAGGTAGTCTGGTTCTATGCCTTGTATTTTACTAATGCTTACTAAAAGGATGTTATTAGTACCTGGATTCAATACTTCATCCTTAACCACAAATTTGAGCTGATCCCAAGATACATAAGAAGCCAACCTGAAATGTTTTAAGTTACTAATTATAAAATTGCTTATAAGATATTTAGATATATGCTTTTCTTTACTTCCAATAACACACTGGGTTTTTTTATTTTTAACAATAATAATGGGAAAATCAGGCTCAATTCTCTTTCTCTTTCTCTTTCTCTGTCTGTCTGTCTGTCTGTCTGTTTCTCTCTCTCTCTTTCTCTCTCTCTCTCTCTCTCTCTCTCTCTCTCTCTCTCTCTCTTTCTCTTTCTCTCTTTTCATATCAGAGGATTCAAAGTATGGTATCTGCATCCCTGGTTCTGCCAATTAAATTTACAAATGTAAATTCTATTATATATAAATATAAATTCTTACCTTAGACCATTGGATTCAGAATCTCAAAATTGAGGATATAGTAGTATCCTACGAATTAAAAATCTCCCAGATATTCAAATGCACATTTAAGTTTAAAAATCCTCACTTTGCATGTTTGAAAACACTAATTAATTAGTAACTACTGACTCATGCAGTACATGGGACTTTACAAGAGGAAGCTGCTGTGATTTAGGAGCCATCAGAATTGTGCTAGAGTGAAAGTCTGTGTATTAAGTTCTTGTATGCATTTCTATAAGACTTCCATATTGAAGGGACTGGGGAGATGGCTCAGTCGAATAAGCGCTTGCCTGGCAAGCACAAGGGCCTGAGTTCAATCCCTGGTTCTGCCAAAAAAAAAAAAAGAAAGAAAAGAAAGAAAAGAACAAGACTTCCATATTGATCTGTATAGCCAAATGATTTTTATAATTATTATAAAATTTGTATAACACATTTTCCACATCATGGAACATTTCTTTTTATTTTAATCTGCCAAGGATCTTCGCAAACACTTCGCTAAATTTATTGTGCATCACTTGATACTCCCTGTGTTTTTGCTTATGAATAATCTGTCATTTGTTTGATGAGCCATTATGGCTTTAGCCAAGTTACAAGGATAGCTTTTAAATTTAATTCAAAAACTCCACATTGGTGTGAGTGAAGAAGTAAAATAAACCCCAAGTTCTCAGTCTACGAGAGTTGTGTTTCTCGCACAGGTCATTAAAGCTGTGGACGAGGGTTACCGCCTGCCGCCCCCCATGGACTGCCCTGCTGCCTTGTACCAGCTCATGCTAGACTGCTGGCAGAAAGACAGAAACACCAGACCTAAGTTCGAGCAGATCGTCAGCATCCTAGACAAGCTGATCCGGAACCCCGGCAGCCTGAAGATCATCACTAGCGCAACAGCAAGGTGACGCTCGATCTCGCATCCTGCACTCTCTTTTTTTTCTTTTCTCTTTCTTACCCTACTTTCATTCTTTGTAATTCTCAAGACTAGAGGGGTATGCTTTATTTTCTTTTTCCTTAGAAAGAATTTATTTAATAATAATGGTGGCATTTTGAGGTATTCTTTTTAAATTTCTGGGGTGAACAGAAGGGTTTACACATCCATAATTGCTCTTTTTATTTTATTTTTAATTTTTTATGTATTTGGTACAGGGTCTCACTATGCAGCTCAGCCTCATAGCAATCCTTCTGCTTCAGCCTCCCCAGCGCTGGGATTGCAGGCGCGCGCCACTGAGCTCTGTCAGGGCCGGCACGCGGTGGGGGATGGAACCGCGCTCCCTGCGCCTGCCCAGGCAGTTGCTTAGAGTGCTGAGCTGTCTCCATAGCCCACGTGCATATGAAATTTGGACATATAGCTTCTTCTGACTCTGTTTTGTTTAAAGAAAAAGGGAAAGAACGCTTCTGGGTTGGCTGCTAGCTTAGTAAAGTCCAGTTTCCTTTGTTTCAAACCCTCAAAAATCTAGTGATCGATATACATCCAAACGTTGTATTGATTAATGGAATTCCTTCCTTTCTACTTTGTTAAACTAAAGTTCTTAAATATATATTGCATACCATTTACTGTGCTAGACAGTGTAAATGATAAAACTAAGAGCAAAATAAGGTCCATTTTAATAATAAATAAGCACTGCAGCCCAGATGTACACACATCTGGAAATCGATGCCGTGCATGAGCTCCATTAAATTCTGTGTGTGTTTCTTGCAGTGAAGAAAACTGAGTTTTCTCATTGGTTTTCAGTATAGTAAGTTATAGCACACCTATGAAGTATAATGGGGGAAGATATAAGGTTTTTTCAGTGTTCACATAAGAATAAAGAAAATACACTAATCTATTGGGTAGCATCTCAGAAAAATGAAAAAATGAAGGGGAAAGCTACCTGTCTTGTTTAATAATGTAGATTTTCACTTACATGCCAGAGAAAAACAGTTCTTCTGATCAGATGTGCTATTACAGACTTGTACCCTTTTGATCTGTTTTATCATATGAGTTCCTACTTTACAAAATTTTCCTCCTAAGCATAGAGGGAGAAGCACTTCAGTGTTTTTCGCTGTGTGGCTGTAATCAATAGTTTGAAGGCCAGTAAGTGCAAAAATACCTTGACACATACAATGGATGCGTTGCACGGGGTCGCACACTTTTGTGAAACATGGGGAGCCGGTTGCTTCCTCACTAGTGTCAGGCGCTCCTTTGGATTTCCCAGCCACGCGAGCCTGCACTGCTGTCCTTGTTGTTGCTAAGCAGAGTAACTAAAGCCGGCCGTCTGCGCTTGGAAATTCCTTGATCATTACCTTAACTTGGCTGTTCAAAAAGCAAAAATGAATGAATGTGTGTGTGATTGCACAAAGATAGAAAAGTTCAGTTAAGTATCTCTGTGTGCAACAATTTTACATTAATACCTCAAGCAATATTTTAAGAAATTACAAGAATGCCCTCCAAATCTGCAGTGAGCAAATGCCAAATTTTAAGTCAATGCAGAAACTGACAGTCAAGCTAAATGATGTTGGAGAATGAAGTAAAACAAGCAAGCGCAAGGTGCTAAGTTCAATCCCCGATACCACAAAAAAATATATTTTATTGTAATATTATCAACAAATAACATTGAATATTTTCAAACTTGAAAATATGATATCAATGATGATATGTTGTAAAAATGCCTATCAAACTAATTCACATATACATCACTGCTCAGCTGCTCTTTAGTTTTATATGTTTCTATCTTAAGAATATTTAGACTCTTTCTAAGTAAATTTCATATTAACGTAGTACCTTTTCCATAGTCACTGTGATATATATTAGGTCTCCATGGATTATTTATCTTATAAGTTCAAGTCTGTCTGCTTTCACCGCTATTTCTAATTTTGCCACTTTCTGACCTCTGGGGATCCTTCCCACTCGCTGTTTCTCTGTGCTACTCTTTTTTAGATTCCGCGTATAAGCAAGCTCACACACTAGTCTGTGGTCTATATATAACTTAATTAACTTCATGTGGTGTCCTCCAAGTTTATCAATGTTGTCATAAGTAGCCGTGTTTTTTTTTTCTTTTTAAGACTATTTACAGAAAATTTTCTTTATCCATTTATTCTGCTGATGTTTTGATTATTTCATCTCTTTATGAAAAATGCTGTAATAAATATGAAAATACAAATATATCTTCAAAGTAATAATTTTGGGGCCGAGGCAATAGCTTGGCAGTCTATGTGCCTGCCCGGCAAGCACAAGGACCCGGGTTCAATCTCTGATACCCCATGCATGCGGGCCGTGTGTGGAGGCAGCCCCCGAAACCGGGCACGGAGAAGCAAACCTGTAATGCAAGTGCTGGGGAGGCTGAGGCTGGAGGACAACTTTATTTTCTTCAGCTAGATGCCCCAATTTGAGGTTGCTAGAGTATATGGTTGTCTTACTTTAATTTTAATTTTCTTTTTTTCTTTCTCCTTTTTTTTTTTTTTTTTGGATTTTAGGGAAGTGTCTACAGGGTGTTCAGGGTCTCATTACTAGATTAGACCCATAATGACCTGCCTGTTTACAGCTTCCCAAGAGCTGGGATTATAGGCCTGCACCACCACCACTCCCTGTCTCAATCTGTCTCAGCACACCCGGCGGTGGGGGCAGGGCAGCAGGCCTGGGGATCGAACCCTCAGCCCCTGCGCCTGCTTACAGATACTTTAATCCATTGAGCTATTTGGCCGGCCCCATATCACTTATAATTCATGATGTGAACATCTTTTCTTGTACCCAGTGGCCATTAGTATATCTCTTGGAAAAATATCTAAGCAAATGTTTTGTCAATTTTTAATCACATTGTTTGTAGGTTTTTTATTTTTGCTATTGAGCCTTTTGAATTTCTTATCTATTGTGAATATTTATTATAGCATATATGGTTTGTAAATATTTCCCCATTCTATAGGCTGCCTTTCTTTCATGCATGAATTTGCTGCACAGAAATTTTTTATGTTTGATATTTTATGTTTGATGTGGTATTACTTATTTTGTTTTTGTTCCATAACTGATACTTTGGAGCCATAATCAAAATTATTATTACTGAGACTGAGACTACTGTCATGGTACTTTTCCCCTGTTTTTTTTTGGTTTGTTTGTTTTGTTTTTGAAACTGGGGATTGAACTCAGGCCCTTGTGCTTGCCAGGGAAGCGCTTCTTCTACTGAGCCATCTCCCCAGCCCCTCCCATTTTCTTTTAAGAGATTTGTAAATCAGGTCTTATAGTGACATCTTTAATCAAGTAGGTATAGTTTGCATACATGATTCATTTTTTATATTGTATTTATATAAAATGTATGAAGGCATCTGAAACAATCTCAGTACATGAGAGTAGTAGTTTATTTGTTAGAAATATCCTTTAGGGGTCACTAAGATTCAATTTAGCGATAAATCTTTAGATAAAGTTTCTCATTACTTATCCCAAAAGGATGAACCTCTGTCTTAAACTTCACAGAGAGAGACAGTGCAGGGGCTCTTTGAGAAATCTACCTGACAGCTTAACAACCAACAGGGTACCAAACCTGTCCTTCCCTGGGCCATATGGTCTTCATTTTACACCCTAAAGCCGTCTCTTTTGATCTTTTCTCAATAGTAATAGCAAAGAAAGCCATCTTTTAAGCTCCTTCTATATCATAAAAAGGACGTTTAAACCATCTCCACAGAAAAGTATCATCAATATAAAGGTAATTTATGCAATATGGTCTAAGGAGATTTCATTTCAATTTTATGAGTGAAGGTAGTCTTAATATCAGACCCTAATCCATCATGGTGTCCCCTAGCATCCAGATTTTCATAGTCTTACTTAATTGACTTTTCCATTAGATATAGAATGTTTTCTTTATTACATTTTAATATCTGAACAATTCCATGTAATTTATAATAAATTGTTTAATTTTAGAAAAATAGTACATTTTTACGAAGTACAATTCAACATTACTCAAATGCAAATGTTTAGGGGATAATATATTTACTTATTGTCTCTAAAAGATATAACTGACTAGACTGTCATTAAAAGTTATTATCAAAAACATCACCTTGCTATGTAAAAATTTCAAGAATTATTTTCTTTAGAAAATTTCTTATCCCAAGTTTGACAATGATTATTAGATTTTAATGCTTGATTACATCAATATTCCCTTTCAAAATTTATCATTAATCACTTTGAAAATATACTCAACTAAAAAAATAAATATAGACATTAGGTGGGAACTTCAGGGAAAAAAGAGATAAAAAATGAGGGAAAAAAGGAAAAGCAAAAAAAAAAAAAGAAAGAAAGAAAGAAAGTATATTGGCATCTGAATTACTTATTTTGCATTTTACTTTAATTAGAAGGAAAAAAAAGTCCCTTTAATTGTACAAGACAATTTCTGTCTGCCCTGTCTGCCTGCTTGTCTGCCTGCCTTCCCTCCTTCATTCTCTGCCTCCCTCCCTCCTTCCTTCCTTCCTTCCTTCCTTCCTTCCTTCCTTCCTTCCTTCCTTTTCCTCCTTCCTTCTTTCTTTCCCTTCCTTCCTTCCTTCCTTTCTTCCTTCCTTCCCTCCATCCTTCCTTCCTTCCTCCCTTCCTTCCTTCTTCTTTCCTCTTTCCTTTCTTCCTTCCAGAGTTCCTAATTTACTTGGCTACATCAGCACTTGCTCTCTTGCCCAACCAGAAATCAAACACGTCTGAGCAGTGCTTTCCTGCTCTGAACACTGTGCTCTAGATGATCACTGGATCAATGAGATCCACTTTTCATCTTGCTCACCCTTATGGGACTATCTCCTCTGCTGACATAGTACTGAAATAGCTTCTTGCCTTGGCCCTACCTTCTATTCTTGGCCTTCTACTCCAAGCATCTTTTCATATAACCTTTGTAATTTTCTTCAATCAATCAATCAATCTATCTATCTATCTATCTATCTATCTATCTATCTTA